TCTACTCTCCTAACCGGGTCATCGGAAGGCCGTCATTTTATGTGACCAAACCATCTAAGTCGACTCTCTCTAATCTTATCTTCTACTGGAGCTACTCCAACCTTTTCACGTATATGTTCATTTCATATCCTATCTCTAAGGGTAAAAGCCACTCATCCACCTGAGCATCCTCATCTCTGCCACACTTATCTTTTATAGTTCTCTCAAAATTGCTAATACTTTGCCATACATCATATCAATACCAAACCTCTATGAAAACCTTAACATCATGGTCAGTTGCTAAAAAAGTCACATCTTCAATCATAAAAACAAAGAACATTTTATACATCTTTATTATAAGCTCGAGAATCTCCATAATGAAAAATAGCAAGGCAATAAGAAAAAATGTGGAATGGACGCTTGTGCAATACAAAGTAATAAACTGATTCTTTTTTTCAAGCACTTCAGAGGTTGAGTACTTTGTTCATACTAATTATTACCTATGATGCACTGACACTTTTCCTTAAAAAAGCGTGCAGTATCCGACACGTATTCGACACGACATGCATCTAACACTCCTTCGACACGTCTCGGACACGCCATAAAACGTGTCCGATTAAAAAAATATTAAATACAAATTAGACACGCATGTCTTAAATATTTTATATTTTTTAAAATATATTTTTTTGTATTTAAAATTTTTATTTATTTAAAATATTAAAAAAAATTATTTCATATCCACAATACTAAATAAATCACCCATACTCAATACCTCATTAATCAAATATTCTCATTTTTATTTCTGTTAGGCAGGTCGTGATTTTGGTTTCACAACAATGTCCATCTCATTTGAACATTGACATTTGACGTCATTACAACATCGACATTTCAAAACCATCGCAATATCAAAGTTTGACATTGTCTTGGCATTGATGCTCAACGCAAGCAATTTCTACAACCACAACTTAACAGCTCATCTTTATCCGACATCTTCTTAACATCGACGACCAACACCCTCTCAACATCGACGACAAACACCCTCTTGACACTAACGCCTGATACTTACTGCATAACATCAATTCCTGACTCTCGATAGCATTGTCGTCTCATTTCTCGATACCTGATACACGGTATCGACGCCCAGTTCTCGACATCCTAATATTAATCATTTTAAAAATAAATTCTAGTTAAATGACTTATTATTTCTAAATTATTTTTAATATTATGCTTCTTCAAAATTTTACACTTATTAAAATAGAAAAATTATTATACCATGTTCAACCCGTGTTCGTGTCCTATATTTTCAATAATTTGTGTGTCCTATGTTCGTGTGGTGTCGCATCTATGTAGCCGTGTCCGTGTCTGTGCAACATAGATTATTACTAAGGGGCTGTTTGGTATGCAGAATTATGAGGGTAAAGTAAATTAAATGCAAGTATTTCTTAAATTAGGTTGTTTGGTTGATTTTGAGCGGAGCATAAAGAAGTATTCCAAAGCATAAACAGTGTATTACAAACCGTCCTTTCTGCAACTTCAAAACCCACTCAAATTGAGCGGGATAGAAATTCTCTATTCTTCCCACGCGCTGGTTTCGCGAAATCAAAGCAAGCATTAAGAGGCTGACAAGCTTTAGTGTGCGTGTTTAAATGGGACGGAGGCGGCTAGGTCTTGTGCCGATGGGTTTGGAAAGCTCGACAGAGGATTTCACCTCCAGTAATGTCTCTCTTCATACCGATTCTGATCATCCTCTCCATCTTCTTACTCAAAGTCGTCTACTCATACCTCTGGCTTCCGCACCAGATCCAGCTTCACTTCCGGCGCCAAGGAATCAGCAGTCCTCCTCGCCGCCTTCTGTCTGGCGGGAACGCCGGTGAAATACGTCGGCTGTTTGCGACTGCTCAGTCTTCTCCGACGTCGGGGCTCAGCCAGGACCGAAACAGAGAATTGATTAATTGTTCTTTTTATTTTAATTAAGGATGAATTTTATCAGGGATATATGGATCTATGGCAGTGGTGGGGAAGTGGATTTGTTCGATTGTCGGCATAGATGAGACGGGAAGCTTCCAACAGTCCCTCGAAGCTATAATCGATGGTTTGGGATACGCTTCTCCACCTATTATAGCTCTTCTCTTTATCCTTGTGGGAGGAGGGTTGTGCAGCTTTCGGCGGCGACGGTAGAAAGAGTTCAGTGAGGAGGATGTGTGTGAGAGCAGACTCCGTGAAGGGCTGCTGTAGAGGAGTAGCTCTTGTAGTTGGTGTTCGAATTGAGGGCTGCTAGAAGTATTTACGGCAGCATGGTGTAATGGCTGTTGGAGAAGGCTAATAGATGCATGACGTGTTGAGGAGAGGTTAGAGGAGGTTTGTAGGTATGAATGGAGGGGTTGGGAGATTCGTGAAGTAATGTGAGAGCTGGAATGAGTTATAGAGGCTGACTGTGTGTTGCTCTTCATGGATGCAGGTCAAAGCGGTAGAGGAGTCGGCTTAAAGCGTGAGAAGAATAGTGGAAGTGGGAGAAGGATTTGAGAATGAGTGAGAGAGATGGTAAGGGATTTGAAATTGGCTCAGAGATCCTATACTTTGGTTTCTCCCTAACGCCAGCTAAATGAAGTGACTTGATGCAGACTGTAGCACCAAATATGAAGAGATAAGGTGGGATTTTGCAGGGTATAATATAAGATATAGAATATTCTTCCTTATGTATGTATATATTATGGAGACTTTTGAATTTAATATCATTTTATTATAATTGTTAATAAATGTAATATTTTATTCCAACTTTTCTTAATTTTTGGTTAGCAGTCAGCACATTATCACTTTGTATAAAAAGTATTTTTCAAGCCTTCTTAGGTGTTTTTCAGCTTCATAGAAGTGAAATAAAAAATATATATAACTTATTTTATTCAAATTTTATCAAAAGCATTAAAATTAAGGCATGGAATAATTTTTTTTATTACTTAGCTTTTAAAATCATAATTATAAATTTTATTTTATCATTGGTTTTTCACGGCTTACAATTTTTTATTAAAAATTTATATTTTACAACAGCATTAATTTTTTTTTTAAAAGCAGCTTTAATATATATAAAAAGTTGTACCAAATTAAGGGATATAATTTTGATTTAGAACTGCTAGTTGGTTATCATATACATTTAAAAAAATTATCTTTTAAAAATTTTCTTCCAATCTCAATATATATATGGGTATGAATGTAATTTGTTCCTACACAGCGCAGCACAGCAACTCCACAGTTATACTATACAAACAAAATATAAAGATTTATATACAGCAACTTCAGAAAGCAGCTTTATATACAACAATTTCACAACCTGCTTTACCGACAGCTGCAACCGTCCCAAACGCACCCAAGTCATCATAATTAATTAGTTAAGCTTAAGCTCAAATTAGAGGTGCCAAAATAAATTATTACAAAAAATCCGCTTTTACTTTACTCTGGTTCTACCTAACCAAACAAGGGAAACAATTCTCCTGCGTTTATTTTGCAGACAATCAAGCAGTCTCAAAGTATTCAAAATGCACTGCATTTACTTTACAATTGCATTTACTTTACACTGCATTTTCTTTTCAGGCAACCAAACAGCCCCTAAATATTATGTAAAAATGTGCTTCCATAATCACATCTACAACAAAATTTGCACCCATACATGTTGTGCCCTTGCTAATATGATCTTCATTTCCTATTTCACTTTTCTCATTGCGATCATCCTACTCATTAGACTTCATAAATTTCAATTACGTAGGATATTTATGTGGTTAATGAATAGGTAAAATCTACGATGGTGCAGATATCTACAAATCGATGCTTCAACTGCAGTATTGCACCAATCAACACTATTCTCAAATAATTCCATTTTCAATCCACAAGTCCTTTCTTTTCGTTCTCGCTCCCATCCTCACAAAGTAGAAGTTAGATTGAGTCATTTTATTTAGGAATAGGGAAGAAATACCATTTGGATTAGATAATAGATTGAACATGTTGGGGCCATATAAGATCTACAATTCATATCAGATTAAACATAATAGTTTGATTAAGTGATGACCAAAAATCCCACCGCCAAGCCATATCCTTGCTAGTGAAGCCATAGCGACTGGAAGAAAATAGAAGATATCCGGACGAATGAGGCTTCAGTGTAACAATGTGAACCAAAATTGCACAGGGATGATGATAACTGCAGGGAGAGCAGTAAAGGCAGATATTCACAATATTGAAAGTGGAGCTCATTAGATGCCAAATTTTGATAATCAAAGAGCATTAGAAGATGGAGAGCACAGTGAAGTGTGTTGTAAATTGTTTGCAATGAACATTGGTGGTGTTAGATGATGATGGGAGAGGGAAGCGATGTCAAATTAAGCCTTGAAAAGTTCTAAGAAGTATGCTCTTTTAAAGTTTAATTATAACAAAAATAAGAAATATAATTATCTTATTGACAAAAAAAGCAACCTAAACATTTCTAAGCAAAAGGATAATGCATAGATTATTCCTACAAAAATCACATAAAAGAAGTTTCTTCTTTTGCTTCTTTGCAATGTAGAATGCTTTAAATTCATAAAGCGAAACCAATTAGACTGGATAATGATCACGATAATGCCATTTCAATAATACATTTATACTTAAAGAACTATTTTCAAATTTTTTAATCTTTACATTTAATGAGAACAAGTGTATCTTGAGAAACTACAAAAGAGACCTAGTTCAAATTGTTGGAGAGCAAAATACTTAATTAGCATAGAGTTATCAAATTTGGAATAAGAAACATAGACAAGAACTACACTCCACTTTCATTCCCTATCTAACATCCAAAACATATTACGCAAATTGAGCAGGGTTTAAAAACTATAAATATTGAACTTTAAGGTAAAATTGATTTGCATGAAGTGAGCGCTTACCAAAAGTAAAGATGAAGAGCCACTAATAATTCAAAGCAAAAGCTATGCTTGGTAAATTGGTAAACTAATCCATAAATAATCAATAAATTGTTAAATATGGAAAGAAAGATATCTTACCTAGACCAATTCGCTCACCTATCTGAAGATCTTCCCATGGAATCTCCCATTCAGCAACACCATCCAATAACGGTTTGAAACTTTCTTTCTCAGAACCACTCGACAGGTGAAGATCATTATTGCTTCCTTCTGAAGATTACATACAAGCAAATGTAAAATAAGCCATATTAACCAAAGGAACTTCATATGGACATACATTATTTCGGTTCTCACCCTCTTTTGCCTCAGAATATTGAGCAGATTTCTTAGCATTACTTACAGATACCAGGTGGCTTCTATTAGCCTCATCTGCAACAAGATATCCCTGGCATAAAATTTTACATAAGCACGTCACTAAAACATAAGTCAGCAACTTCAAGCCCTTAGCTGTTCCAGGAAATTACCTTAAATTGGGAACTGTCTAAAATAGAACCCTGATTTGTCTTCAAAAAAGGTGAAGGATTTCTACCGACAACAGGGTTTGCGGACGAAGATGGAGACTGCTCTTCCTTGCCTGTCATTTCAACAAAATATTTTCCATGGTTATTTTTTAAACTTGGATAACTTGAAGAGTCTTCCTTTATGAGTCATAATTTAAAAGGTTCAGAAAGCTCACCCTCTTCCCTACCTAGACTTCCTTCCACACTTATGCTGTTTGTAGGGATCCCTTGGTCTACCAGACCATGCACAGTATTTAGATTTGAAAACAAATCCAAGGGTGGTGAAGCACCACTCTCCAACAGAACAGCATGAAGTTTTCGAGCAAATTCTGGATTTTTCGCAGCAGTAACAACGTACTTTGAGACATCATTAACTTTCATCTGCTCAACAGGTGATATAACTCGCTGCACTCCACTTGTGGTTTGAGTAACTGTCTCATTTTCTTGTCCACATCCTTCAATTAGACTTTTTCTTTCAACTCTTATATAATCACCTTCACATAGGTGTTCTGATTTTTCTTGTGATGGTAAGCCCACAGTTCCTAAAATGGAGTTATTATCGGAAGTATTTTCCTCTGATACATCACTTTTCTTCTCAAATTGACAGCTAACCTTATCAAGGGCCAAGCAAAGATCTTTAACAGACTGTTCAATTGTATCAGTGCAATGCAGGATAGTTCCAGAATTATGCAGATGACTGCTAGGGACCTCAGCAGGAATTAATGTGCCAGGAGCACCCATAAGATCGATGATATATTCACTGAAAGGAAAGAAAAAGCTGAATGAGCCTTAAAACATACTCTGTAGAAAAAAATGAATAGATAAAGCAATGCATTATGCCACGAATTGTGAAGTATAACTTTCTATGAGAGCATAGATGAGCTATTATGATATGAGAACCAGATTGACCAGTTAAACCATGAATTGGTACCTAGTCCACTCTAGTTAGACCTACTGAAAAAAGATCCATCAAAATAAACTTTAGAATGAAATAAAATAAATAAATAAATACGTGTAAACTTAGCCAAAAAAAAAAATCTCATTACACCAAATGGTCAACCACACCATACAGAACCAAAGTTTGTATCGATGCCTAATCTTAACTATTACTAAAAAGCTCCAAGCAAGAAACCAACCCAAGACATCTATTTTTCATCACATGAAAAATACAAGATTGTAAAAAACAATGTTCTATGTTGGTTGAAACTAGATAAAATTCTGTTTGCAATCTTTGGTGTCAAAGCCTCAGAGACAGTAAGCACTTAACATCCCATTGTCTCCACTCAAAAAATTTTCCATCTTCAAATATGTTCAAGCCTCCCGTTTCATCTATCAATAGTGAAAACAATAACACTGAATGAATCGATTCAGTATCCAATTCTAATCAATCATAAATGTCGAAAACATCTTTCTGTATTTTTCAATACCTAAACTTATGGACAGATGTTCAGTACTACAACAACAACATTAAGCCTTTGTCCCACTACGTGGGATCGGCTACATGAATACCTTTTCTCCATTGTGTCTTATTAAAAGTCAAAATCTCGTTTAAATCTAATAAAGAAATATCATTTCTAATATTTTCTAACCAAGTCTTTTTAGGTCTACCTCTACCTTTCTTAACACAAGTCAAATATAATACCTCTACTTTCCTAACCGGGTCATCAGAAGTCCGCCGTTTTATGTGACCAAATCATCTAAGGCTCTCTAATCTTATCTTCCAATGTTCAGTAAAACTTCAAAATATAAAACCTAACTTCCAAAAACAAGATTTAATGAATCAGAAAAGGAAAAACTCAATCTCAACATAAAGAAAAATAACAAGAAAAAAAACCTCTACCATCTAGGCAGTAGCAATAGCAGACTAAATAATAATACTTGATAAAGATTGTACCTTTCGTAATCAACTTTAATCAAGTTTATGGCACCCTCATCTGTGCCAGTATAATGACTCCCCTTCACTAACTTACAGGGAAGATCAATCCGATCAGCTAGTACCTAGCACCAAAAAGTGAACATTAGTTTTCTAATACAAGCAAATAGTGTAGCATAAAATCTCGGTTGCACTCATAATCTCACAATGATTTAGCTCTACAACAATCAAACCAATAAAAACAACATCTCCATTAGAGCAGTTGCACGCAATTAAGACTTGACCATACAATGCCTCATACCAAGATTGAAATGGGAGGAAACAAATTTTGATCAACTGCCAATAATTAGAAGGAACATTTGATAATGTAATGGTCTGACAAATGATAATATTAATATGGTAGTCCAACAAAGTTTTATAACCAAAGAAGATCACAACTTAGAAAACCAACTCTCACTAGGACAAAATACTTGTCAGATGAAATCAAATATAAATTGAAAGCTTATTAAGTAGCGCAAAGCCACAAAGATAAATGAAGAAATTTCAACAAGCAAAAAATATTTCCAAAATAACCAATCAGCAATAGTAAAATTGCTCATCACTCACATGTAATGATCATCATCATTAGTAGTATCCCAACTATTTAGGATTAGTTATATGAATCATCATTTTTTTTTCTTTTGTTCATGTTGAGTGATGCATAAGATGTTAAGCTTATTCTTTTCAAATCATTTTAAACAGCCTTTATCCATGTTAGTTAACCTACCTTTCTCCTTCCTAGTCCTCTAATAATATTTTTATCTTCCAATATAATGGCGCCTTTTTAATCCTTCTATGTATACATTCAAACTACATAAGTCTCTTTTAAATTAACTTAGCTTCAATATAAGTCACCTAATTGTTTCTCCAATATAATCATTTATTAATTTATCTTCCTAATTTTGCACGTTCATCTTAGTATTGTTATTTCCTCCAAATTGAACTTAGCTATCAAAAACTTTTTTACTACACAACACTCGAATCTATACAACATCGGAGGTTTAACTATAGTTTCATTTTAATATATAACACTCAAATCTATACAACATCGGAGATTTAAGTAGTTGTATAAAATTTACCTTTAAGTCTCTATGATATCCTCTTATCCCATAAGACTCCTAAATATTTCTCCATTTTAATTACTCAACACTAACTCAAAGTAATATCCTCATATACATCATTACTATTTTGAATAATAAATCCAAAATAATTAAATATACACCAAAATGCATATCATATATTTAGTTTTTGTTCTGTTAATTATAAATATTTTATCTTCTAAAAACTTTCTCCATTATTCTAATTTTCAACTTATTTTAGTATATGCCTCACAAATTAGTACTATCAAATGTAAAAAGCATAAACATAGGCATCTCACTTTCATTATCCTTTGTAAGCATCTCCATACAAATAAAAAAGGACTAAATGTTAATCTTAGATGTAAATCTACTATAATGAAAAACTCTTTGGTCACTTTACAACTACTTTTAATACTAGTCCATGCTCCATCATATATATCTTTAATGACTTCAATATATCTTTGACATATAGCTTTCTTCATTGATACACACTATATTAATTCGCACGATACTCAGTCATATGTCTTCTCAATGTCAATAAGACCATGTAAAAATTCTTTCTTAGCCCTATATACTTTTACATTAGTTTTCTTAAGACAAAAATCATTTCCACAATATTCCTACTAAGAAACAAAATTGGTTTTTTGAAATTGATATAATTGTTAAAAGTGTATATTCCATTTCTCTCTCTCATAGCTTCATAATATTACTCAAATTTTTTTTTCAATAGTTAGCACAATCATAAACTTATTTTCATAAATCTTGGTATCAAAATGCTTATTCTAAAATAATTTGGCATTATCTTACTTTTAACTTTTATTACAATAATTTGCTAACCAAAACACCACATCTCCTATAACTCTCCAAATCTACATAGGTATCTTATAGGGCTTAAAGCTTCATCTTCATCAAAGCTAAATATACTTTTTTTAATCAATTTATAATAAAATTTTTTATTTCATTTTGTTATACTCTTTTAAAAATTTTTTTCTTAAAACTCTTGTTAAATGATTTCTTAAAATATGAGTTTCATCTTCCCTTACATTCTACATCATAAACAAAGATCCTATCATTTTCCCTTCTAATATGCACCTGACTTTATAAAAGTCATTAGGGGTCTTATCTTTTGCCTTAATTATTCCATACATCTTATTTTCTTTAGTACCAAATATGTTATAAACATCATTAAAAATTTTAATGTTTTCTTTGCTTGCAATATTCATTGCAAAACCTATAGAATTTTACGATCGCTATAAACCTCTCAATCTTTAAAAGCACAAACCCACCACCAAGTCGCCTCATTAGCATACCCGATCCTAAGACTTCTACAACATCCTTCTTAATGGAACTAGCCATCTTATTTTATATCAAGTTTGGCTAAACTAAAAAATTTCACTTTATATATATATATATCTTTATATATATATATATATATATATATATATATATATATATAATGATAATTTTTCACCTACAAACTTTCACCATTTTATTATCGGACATTTAGTTCTTTTGATTGTTTTTTTATGCTTTTAAGATATACATCAATAACTACTATTTTATATTGTCAAATCACCTTACAATCTTTGCAAAGCAAAATTTCGCTCCATCAAGTAAAGAATTGATCTGGTAGCTCCAACTTTATAAGTAAATAAGTAGTTTTCTCATTTCTTATGATGTGCGTTCACTGCTACGAGATCATATATTAATGCAAAATCATGTATAACTTATTCTATTGTAATGCTATTACCTATTACATACCCACCATGAATTGTCTAATAGCTCATCATACTATAACTTATATATGACATTTAAATCACCTCCAATAAATATCATTTCTACCTAAAGTATAAGTTGTAGTAGTTCATCAATCTCTTTCTAATAATGATCTTTAAATTAATTTCTTATCATACTTAAAGAGCATAAGCATTAATCATATTTAGAAATTTCATCACCAATAATTATCTTAATAGCAATCATCATATCACTAATTATATAGATCTCGACAATTTTATACTTAAACTCTCTATGCACTACTATATAAAATTCATTGTATTGTTAACCTTTCCACCATATAATAATTTATAACCTTCCACAATGTACTTGAGTTTTTCTCCTCTCCATCTAGTTTCTTGTAAAGAAGCAATATGTATTCTCCTTATAATCATTGTGCCTACCGATTCTTTTATCTTCTATCTAAAATCACCAAATTTCGTGTAGTAAATATAAGAGGGTCACCCTAGCCAATCCTTGTCACCATAACAAGATTAATCGTGTGTACCAACTAGATGTAACGTCCTAGTAAATTCTTATCTACTTCTCGCTACAATTAGTCGTAGCACATCACTATTGGGGAACACCTTAGTGATGGAAAAATTCAAATTTAAATTCATTTCATTAACTTTAACATAAATTTAACAATTAGCTAACAATCTAACATAAAACTTCAAGCTTCATCATCTGTGCTTCAAATCAGCCAAAGACAATTTTTAATAAAATTCACATGCAATACAAATTCCAATTAGGCAAATTTCATTAACAAAATCCAATTCAATTTCCAAATGAATTTTAGATGTCAAAAGCATCTGTTTAATATTACATAACATTTCAAAGCTAGTATTTGTGAAATCATTAATACGATGAATTTGAAACACAATGTGAATGATAGATCCTGACTAAAAAACAAAAATATGCCAACTATATATGAATATAAAGTCTACAGTATAGCAAATAATATATTAGATTTTCAACTTATTAAATAAATATCAACATATTGGATGGTATTGTGGGCCAGAATGCTAAGCATGATACCCAATGCATCAAGGGCAATTTTTTTTTTTTTTACTTTTATTTAAGCTATCGAAAGTGGTTGGAGTTTAGTTGAAGAAGTGGGTTCCATTGAAATGATTTTCAATGACATTTTTGTTTTTCCGTCTCAATTCCTTTGTTTCTTTGGATTAAAGTGGGCTCCATTTAACCCATCTGTCATTTAAGTTTACACTACTATATTGCTGTCATATGTAAACTAAAACTAATGTTGAAAACCATCCTCCAATTAATTTCACTTAATGTTATTTTATTTTATTTTTATTATCATTAAATAAATAGCAAAATTAAAGGTGAGTTCACATTCATCATAATTCAAACTCACTTCTCCCCTTAACAAAGTTGAGTTCCAACAATTAAGAATTCATTTTCATCAAATTTCTACCAATGAAGCGCTTTAAATCAAGTTCAAAACAAAGATCCAAACACTTCTGTCAATACAAAGTAGGCAACAATTAAAGACCCTTCATAATACAATGGTGTAATATAAAACTAGAATAATATCTGTAATTTCCACGAGCTAAAAGAGGTTGCCAATCATGTAGTGTTATGCAGTGGGAATCGGCACATGCTCGACTAGCATATTTATTAGCACCAATATTCTAAACCTTTAAATAGGGCTGAACTATATCCGCTATGCAGGCAAGTCTCCATTAAATGATTTATGAAGATAATAAAATCATCTGATAGGAAGTTTTGAAGTCTCTTTACTAATAAAAAATTGTATCTAAAATAAAAACACTGAAAATGTGAACATGATCCAATATGGCCATGCTAAAAGTATGAAAAAGAATTAGATTTAACATTTTTCTGTTTGAAGTTAGTGGAAGAAAGTAATTCAGTGTATATATTTGGGATAAACCTGTTAGGTGTCAACCTTAAAAAGCAAGGCCCTATGACGTGACAATCCAACACCAAGCAAACCAAGAGGAAGTACGATAGTATTCAGAGAAGTACGCAATTCATTACTCCTAATTTTCCACCTTCTAAGCATATCCTCAGCATCTTCAACACGGCCACCCATATATTCAGCAACAAGATGAGCAATCTTTTGGACTAAACAACTGGCTATAGGTCCATTTTCAATTGCTCTGCATTCAGAAGCTATAAGTAATGCTCTCTTTTCCAAGTGTTGTAATGCACAATCCACAGTTCGGTCCAATAAAACCACTTCATATTCCAGTATCTCTGAAACAGATGTTGCTTGAAGATCCACCAAAGATGGCATCTTTCTATCATGGTCAGAGATAATACCATATACATCATAAAACCCATCCGTTAGCTTCTCATCATAGTTCACAACATTATAACTCTGCAAAACAGCATACAATATTTAGTAACCAACTCAACCATGAAGTAACAACATTAAGATAAGCTAATTACATGCATGAGGAGGAAAACAAATGACGAATACAAAAACCAAAAAAAGGGAGAAGTGATTTGTTCAAATTCTAATTAAAATAACTGACAAAAAAGTATAAAAGTTTTGTCAGTAATCATTAAAACAATAGGAAAGCTAAAACAAAGGATGTCAGATGCAAAATTGACATAAGGACTTAATTGGTAATTTTGTGTTGTGTTGTGCTAAAGGAATTAAATTCACCACTCCAAACAAGTAACAACTAGATGGACAATATTCACAGTAAAAATTTTAGAGCAATTAGAAATGGAAAATCAATAATTAGGCAAAGAACGGCTCCAGGTTCCAGCCAGCTCAAGAGGATAAACCAACATAACTGAAGAGTAAAAAGTATATAAAAGGCCTCACTTTTTTTTTTGTGGAGGTTAGATTTTCAAAATCAGTCCTTCAAATAAGAAGCACGCATACTGAAGTGCAGTCTACATAGACAAACAATAGCAATTCCTGTATTCTGAAATCTATCAAAGACCTCTCACTGGTATCTTAAAAAAGGATATTTCACAATAAAGCAACATGCATGACACCCAAATAAGTATCCAGGTCTTTGGTGTCAAGGATTTAGCCTTTTATGTTAAGTTAATAGAAAAGCGTCAAAATAGTTTCACCCGAATTCCAGAAAGTATTTCTAGCTGACGGTAACCAACAATTAACTATTCACCTATAAGTATAAATCCTGATTGGGTATTAGTAAAGGATCTGAAACTGAAATAAACATGCTTAGACTCCCATTAAAAGTTTCAACATTATTACTATATAGCATATACACAGGTGATCCAGGAGGATATTCAGCTAGCTGCTTTTAGGCCAACAGCAGCCAATTCAGGAATCAAGCCAGCACGTCCCATAAGGCCAACAGTTATGGACACAGTTTGGGTCAATTGCTTACTTTTATTTCAATTCAGGTTCATATCCTTTTACTAGATTTTAGGCTTATGAAATGGTCTTTCCTTGTAGCTAGGAGTTAGTTACCTAGTATCTAGAACGAGTTTTAAATTTCAACTTTTGGAGGTATTGGGAAGGATATTTTGATATTTCATGGCCACACAACAATAAGAAATGTGAAATTCTGCTTACCATGAAAGAAATCTTCATACAGGCGTTGCCATTCTAGATGGAAAATATTGTGAAGAAAGTAAGGAGATGAAGAATGAAGTTCACCCACCGGTGTTTCCACATGAGATCCAACTACTGTTCAAAAAGATAGCACCAAACTTGAGTTGCCAACTACAAAAGGATAGTCAATATCGAGAAGCCTGATTGATAGTTCAAGCATTCTAAGACCTCTTCTCTATGTAGGTACAATCATGGCCAAAAGATAGCCTTCACAAGGTCAAAGCTATTTAGCCACACCCTTATGTTGTAGAGCATGGAAGAAAGGAGCAATGACCTAACAAGCATATAACTTGGACCAAGTTCAAAGCCATCCTAAAGAAGTTATATCACATCGACTCAACCAGAAGTGAGAGAGGTGGATTTGATGGCAAAGGAAAACGTGTATAGGACTACATTACTAAATTCCAAAAGCAAGAGATTTCTCTACACATGATTTTGGAAGAAATCTAAACCTTGATGATGTTCAATGCAGGACTAAATAAAAAACTCCATTGAGAATAGGAGTTGTTCTTAATGGCCTCAATTGATGAAGCAGATGCCAAATCAATCTCCATAGTAACCAAGAATTAACAAATGACTAGCGACAAGAAGAACCATTGAAAGGACAAGGGTAAAAATAAAGAGATCATAGAGGAAAAGGAAATCAAGGCTTGCAAATTAACAAAAGACCTTTTTGTACACATTGTAAACAGCCTGGTCATACCAATGACAAGTATAAAAGCTCCACCCAAAATTGAGGCCAAATGATAAAGAAAAAGTAAAGCAAACCATCGTGGCATCTACATAAGTGTAGATTGGTAGAATACAATAAACCTTGCTCTCATTAGAAGGCAAAATCTACAAAATTAGCAAACAAAAGGGTTAGACACCAGCCCCTCATAACATTCCAAATTACTGTCATATCTTATCGATAAAGCATACTGTGGCCTGCACAAATAGTAAGCAATACCTCTAAAACAACCGTTACTACCCGCTAGATAGTAAAAAAAATAAGTACAACCAATTGGATAGCAAGAACAGCAAGATGATCTGGCTAGATAACAAGAATGGTTGGTGATACAACTTATAAAACAATAAGGACAAACCTAGATTAAAAGAAGGGCATAGCATAGGCCTACTCCTTTAGCTCGCAACTAGGAAGATGAAAAGGCCAATGATAGGTTGAAATCTAAGCTCAAATAATTATAGTTTATTCTAGATTCGATACTGAAGTCAAAAGAAATTGATTTCAAAGGAACAAATTGAAAAATTAAAATTTGAGACCACACCCGATCCAAATCATTATTCCTTGGGTTGGTTCAACAGTGTGCATTAAAGTTTGCAATCATAGAACAATTTACTAACAAGGTTACCTATAAGTTGATGTCTCTTGATGTGTGCCACATGATCTTTGGCAAACCGCACCTCTGAGAGTACTACAGATAACAAGATGATATACCTTACATTTTTTTGAGAATTATTCCTCCCTTTTACCATGATCTTTTCTAGTTAGCAAAGAAGATGATTTGGATTAATCCTAGTCTTCTATTGCTTCTTTTGCATGAGATAGCAATAAAACCAGAGGCAACTTTGTATGAGACTATGAGTTGTCTACCCTTTTCCAGAAAGTGAAGGGTTTATCAGCCAAGAAAGTGAGGGGGCATGAACTACCATGGATCACTCCTTTGCTAAATCAACTCATGTACCACCATTCTCCATTGGAGTATGAAGCAATTAGGCGCTCGGTGGCAAAATTATAGAGCAAGGAGCAATACATATGAGCAGTTCACCATGTGGCTCATCAATAGTACTCGTGCCAAAAGATGTTAGAAGGAAGATCTGCATTGATTGTAGAAGATTGAACAAGATCACCATTAAGAACCACTGTGTTATCATTGATAAAGAAGTTGATCAATCAATTATAGACAGCCAAGCGCTTCTCTAAGCTAGTTTTGGCATCCTGCTACAACCATATTTGGGTCAAAGAAGAAGATACATTGAATATCACCTTAAAAAAAAGTAGGGATTATAAGAATGAAGGTTGATGCTATTTAAACTTTGCAATGCACCAACAACCTTAACGAGATTGATGAACGAGGCATCGTACCCTTTTCTATGTAAATTCATAATTATTTATTTAATGACATTTTTGGGTAAAGTAACATCTAGAAGGAGAATCTCTCAAGCAGATTTGAAGCTTCTACAAGAAGCAAAGCTTGAATTAAATATGAAGAAGTGTGAATTTGGTAGCATCAAACCTCTCAATGTCAGCCTGATTGTAGACTTTGGAAAGCTAAAACAGATCTAGGCCACACACTATTTAAAAGTAGAGGTTTAGAATTAAGAAACTTCATGGGTGTATGGTGGTATGTAAGGAAACACATCCATCAATTCTCAGTGCTAACTGCCCCTTGTATATTGTTAGAAGTATTAGCCACCCCTTCAAATGGAGAGGAAAGCAGAACACCTTCCAATGATAAAAAGAAGAGAATGGAGGCATCAATACTTGGTCTTCCTAACCTGCAATGGCCATTAAAGATGGAGACAAATGAATCCAACTATGCAAATGGTGTCATGCTCATCAGGAATTGATGACCTCTCTTTTAAAATTCATAGATGTTGTGCAACGCCCATAAAAACTATCCCACCTATGATAACGAGCACTTTGCCTTAGACCAGGAGGTGAAGCATTGGACGTTAGGAAAATAGATCATTTACCATACAAAGAAACCACTAAAGTACCACAAAGTTAGTCCAAGAAACAGCAAGCCAAGCACATGAAGTAGATGTCAAAACTTTAACAATTTATCCTAGTGAGAGTATACAAAAAGATCTTTGATATGTTGTCCTTGACAATTACTAGTGCAACTACAACCATATTTGTGATTGTGCAGGTGCATTGTCCGTGCAAATCCATACTACTGAGAGGTGTGGGAAACCTATTAAAAGGCTAGACAATAAACTGAAGGAGTCCCACAACAAACTGATTTGAAGATCCTTATTAGATACCATGAGTTGCATCATTTCAGATGACATCATAGACCTATCGTGGATGCTAATTAAGGAACCAATTGTAAGTCAACTTAGGATGACATATGACATTATGTCTATCTAATACATCAATATACAGGCCATTAGTGAACATATTTGTTGTTTGGAAATAATCATAATATAAAAGTGCTATCGCAATTAAGCTAACCATCCAATTAGGAGGCACATGCCTCATCCTTTTATCATAAAATTTTGTGTTGGATTCACTTAATAAAATTGATACACATTGGTTCCCTCATGAGCTTGGCTCAAAACTGAATTTGGAGGCCTTAATTAACTTGGTATTAACGGCAAAAAATTTTATGAGCATAGAATGAGTAATTTTTTATTTTTTAGACTTTGTAAATTACTATAAACTTGACATTTTATGGGTTATTTAGCAATTATCAGAATAGAATAGTGACAAGAGAAGGTAAGTTTACTCAAATTAGAGGCTAGGTGTTAGGGTTTAGAGACCTAGGCCAGTGAATATTTGGGTGTAAACCTTGAGGGCTGACTAGGTATGTGGTACCCTCTGGTAGAAATTTGATGTCAATGCATCCACCATCAGGGAGTCCTTTAGAGATTTGTCTTTGAGTTCTAAGGCATCATTTTTGTGATGAGCATCCCTATAATTATGATTTTCCTAACAATTGAACCCATTATTGGGAAGGGGTTATATGTAGGATGTGCTTGGTAAAGCTATATAGTAGAGTTAATAGGGTTTTATTTTATTAGCCTTTAAACATCTTAGTAGTTTGGTTTCTTATTTTTCTTTTTATTTTACTTAGTTTTATTTCCTGATTTTCTTATTTTTTTACCAGATTTTCTTATTTTTTCAGATAGGGGTAGTTTGATAAATTATGGCCTCTTTGCCCCTGTGTTTTCTTATAAATAACCCATTTCCCTTTGAGATACGGGACTTCTGCTATAATATCAATTTTCCATAAATTTGAGAGAGGATGCAGAGTGCCTATGCTTGGGGTGGTTTTCAAAAAATTTGGATAGGATAGGAAAGAGATTGTTGAGTTTGGGATTTTGCCATCATCAATACCCGTGCCTCCTATTCTTGTTCAGTCATCTGTTTTGTTACTCGACAAAGAACAGGCGCGGTAATCCCACTACCAAGCAATGAACGTGTTGTGTTGTCTTGCCTCCAAGCATTATAAATTGACTCAAAATTGGTGCAAGAGTGTCCTAATCACAATATTCCACCGAGCAAAGGAGATCGTATGTTACAAGACAAGAAACTTATAATTGGAGTAAGAGGGGTCATTGTGGATTGCAAGAAGTCTCCACTAGGTCTCTGGTCTCCATATTTTCCTTTCAAACATAATTCTTAGCGAAGATCAGTGGTCTATTGAATGTTTTTTGGATTTTCTTGCAAGTGACAGAACTGACCAACTAGTCTGCCAGTCTTAAAGCTCTAGGTCTAGTCTCAAAACTAGAGGTTTGGCCTTACACAGGTCAAAAGAACAGTTATATAGGCAGACCGCGGTCCTGAATAAGACCCTCTGGCTCTATTTGAAGCTTTTTTTTTTTTCAAATTTCAATCAATTAAGTATTTGTTATTCAAAAATTCTTGAAATAGTTTTAGGTTAAGGTATTGAGTCTTTCTTTATTTCTTTGTTTGTTAGTTCATTCTTTTTTCGTGCATCTTCGATGTCAAGAGTATATAAGATGTTGCATTTAAAGGTGACCGTATGTTACAAGAAGCCAAGAAACTTATAATTGGAGTAAGAGGGATCATTGTGGATTGCAAGAAGTCTCCACTAGGTCTCTGGTCTTCAATTTTCCTTTCTAACATAATTCTTAGCCAAGATCAGTGGTCTATTAAATGTTTTTTGGATTTTCTTGCAAGTGACAGAACTGATTAACTAGACTGCCACTCTTAAAGCTCTCGGTCTAGTCTCAAAACTAGAGGTTCGGCCTTACACAGGTCAAAAGAACAGTTATATAGGAAGACCGCAGTCCTGAATAAGACCCTCTGGCTCTATTTGAAGCATTTTTTTTTTCAATTTTCAATAAATTAAGTATTTGTTATTCAAAAATTCTTGTAATAGTTTTAGGTTAAGGTATTGAGTCTTTCTTTATTTCTTTGTTCATTCTTTTTTCGTGTGTCTACAATGTCAAGAGTATATAAGATGTTGCATTTAAAGCAACAACCGACTCCCGCCCCATGTAAACTACTATGCTAATCAATCATGACTAGATAACTCTTTGATCATATTGACCTCATCATAAAAGAAGGGATTCAACATAGAACTTTATATTTCTCATAATTTTGCCCAATTTCGAGGGATATTTTGCATATTTAAAATCTTTTGATATAAAAATATGAAAAGTGCACATAGTCCATCTCAATCTAGGATTTAAGAGTAGATACAACTGAAATTTCAATATATTTTGAAATAATGAGATTTGAACTTGAGGTTTTATCATCAACATGATTCTTGCAAATAGTTAAGATTTGGAATTTCTTATTATATTATAAAAATGACCATTTGATGAAATAAAAATCAAAGAATGTCTAGTCCGAATCTAATATTTCAGAGTTCTTTCTCAACTCTTTCTCCATTGGTTGCCCTTTCCTTCAACCTTTCTCTTGATTTTAGCTAGAACTGAAAGCAAATAAGGACAGGAAAAGCTGCCAAGCAATTGGACCTCGCTTTGGAAGATTCCTGTTGCCTAAAATTTGTTCAGAAAAGGAAATTTACTGTTAGGACAGCAAACTGTCGCCATGTCAAGGGGAATTTCAGCAACAGTGAGGAAGTAAAAGAGAGGAAATCATATACGGCCTTATTCCCTACACTTGAATCCAGAACTCTTGGATCATTCAACCAATTTATGGTTACTTGAAGCCTTAGGTTATGAAACAACTGATTAGGAAATTAGGCTTATTAAACATACTTAGTGGCTAATGTATGCTTTTTTAAGCTAGCAGAAAGCTTGCTGATAAACAATATATATTGAACATAGAGCAAGGATGGCTCGTTGTTTGACTTTCGACGGAATAGAGGGCATTTAATCCGTTCTAATAATCCATAATTTATCAGGATGCGGGATGTAGCCTGCTACGTGAGTTGTAGTTAGATTCTGCTCATGTGGCCTCTGAAAGTGTAGTAATGCCATTGCATAGTGAGTTGCTCCTGCAGCTATCGTATTGCCACCCAAAATTCAATACAAACTGCATAGTTAACAACCTCAAATAAGCCAAAAAAAACACATTATTTAACACCAAAATTAAGTACCTCATGGTCAAAATATGAAGTATGGGCATCGTATAAAGACATAATCTCTTCAAAGAATTGAAGGAATATGCCAAAAAAAAGATAAATTAATTCATGCAAATCTTTTTAAACAACTTTTATGCGTTAACTTTAGTCTGTTAATCAATCTTAATTTTATCTATTATTTCTTATTGATGCATCTTATGCCAAATTATAAAAAACTATGTTCCACTACTTTATTCTCAATAGGTACAACTTCTACAATTGCTCTCATATAATTATTTAGCAACTTATCCTTCATATTTTTGATATCCAATATTCTTATTTCTGCACACTCAACAACACAACATATCTACAAACTTAAAAACAAGTATGAGCTTAGAAGATCATAAATTGCAAACAAAAAATGACAATATTGTCCCTAAAATGTGAAATGTATAAAAAATAAGACTTTTAAGATAATATGGGATTTGATATATAGGTATGACATCCAACTATTCATGTGTATGATTTCATGTATTTAAACAAACCATTTTTTTAATCATGCTGCCAAGAACAATGATCCATTTAGAAGAAAAATTATTTCTCCAAATTTTAAACTTCATATTTGGCTTTTTCAATCTCTTCCCACACATCCTATCCATTTGATGTTAATTGCAGCACTCAACCTACCCTTGTTCACGTATGTAAATAACACTCTTTCTGAGATGTCCAAAATCTTTTGTTTAAGTAGACCATGCCTGCACCTATATTTAACCAAATTTTTTAGAGAGTTAATGCAAAAAACTGTGATCCACCAAAACCTTGGCATGTTGACAAGTCGCATGTGAATTTAAAAATAATCTTTATCCATCTAGGATTGACCGTTTATACATCTAATAGATAGCTCAACATTGATTATCCCGGGTAAAAGCAAAAAACTCTATAGCCAAGCTATTTGCTCCTGAAGAATGAGTGATATTCAATTAGTTGTAATTTGTGAGGATTAAATAGAAATTGTTTCTTCTTACCCAACATCCATTCTAATCCCTGCAAGATCTCTTCATAACAACAGGCCTTAATAGCAATCAGACTAAATTAAACATATCGATGGTAAAATTTGGAAAAATATATACACTTCTTCTATTAGTTTAGTTGTAAAATACCTGGTACTCAATTAGTTAGAGAATTAATACATATTTTCTATTATATTGATCTCCGGTGTTATCCTTCTGAGTAATTCTACTTTGCATTATATCTCTTTGAAAAACCTCTCGAGCAACATTCTCATCCTATATAAAAAATAGTTTAGTACAAAATATGTACTGATTTGAGGTTTACCAACAATTTGATAATTCTATTTTCAATTGTATCATTAATAGTTTTATCCAAAACTTGGATCAAGATTGCAGTTATTTTTTATGCTTAATTGTATGGTAATAACTCATGAATCCATTCAATGGCATATCCAGTGCATGAGCATCCACACAATGCGGGGCTCGCAGAGGGATTGTGGATCACCCTTTTGTTGCAAAGAGATTTTCTTTATTATAACTTATGACCTCCAAATCATAATAGAAACAATATAACCATTGTTCCACAGATTTCCTATAAAATTAGAAATGGAGAATTTAAAAACCATTCCAAAATATTTATAAGGTCAATTAAAGGGTGGAATGATAAGGGAAGAAATGATAATGATACAGATAGAATCATCTTGTTTATGCATCAGTTATGTCAAGAAATTTAATTACAATCATGATCATTTACCAAATATCATTAAAACGCATTAAATAGCCCTACTAAACATCATAAGTTAATATGCTACATCTGAGATGATACATGCCATAGATAGGCTCTTTACTAAACCAGAATCAGGGTGGAAAGTGCCATAAACCCTAAAAATAGAAAGAGACGTAAATGAATAAAACTAGTTGTTTGTTCGCTAGGGGATGGAAAATAGCAACAATCTCACAAACAAATAGGCATTTAAGTTTTGACAGGGTGAAATCCAACGCAATTTTTTTTTTTTAAATTCAAAACATTCAACTGAAGGTCGCCTCAACATCTATGATTCAAAATTCACATGTAGAGGGTAGAAACTTGCTTAAATCGCTCACAAGAACCGTATTCTTCATCTAGATTATCAATCAAAACTAATTTAGCCTAAACCCGCACACTGTCCCCACAATAAGAACTAAAACCAAAACCCTAAACCGAAGGCAAGGTCAATGTAGAGTTTACCCAATATCGAAGCGACAGCAATTCCATGTTGCTCTCGGTGCACCCCCCGCCCCCGGCAGTTGCTGCAGCAGTGTCCAGGCTCATCTGCTTAGCGGCCTTGATTTGCACAGAGTCTATATCATCGGTTCCGTGAGGACCTGACGCGCTTATCGCCAAGGCTAGTTGCACCTGGTACTCCTCCTCCAAGAGACTAAAATCACTTCCCCCAGCCCCCACAGGCGTGGACGCCGCCTCGCTTCGCGATCCGCTCGATCTACTCTCCGCCCCATCAACCGATGGCGAGACCAAAGTGGAGCTCATAGATAATGAAGGAGATGATGCCGGCTGAACCATCGTCGGTGGAGGCGGCGTCTCCATTCTCGGTTCATCCAATCGGTGTTGATGGGGATGCTGATGTTCGAGTCCACCGCCACCGCCGATATGCAACTTGCGAAGGAGATGTTTCATTCTTGGCATATAGCATCAGATCGGAAGCCCCGGTACCCTCTCCTCGTCCCTATCAATAAATAAATGGGGCGAGGGGCTTCGTGACTTGCTGGTGCAAGCCCTGCTGGGTTCCTATTAATCTAATCGCTGGAAAAAGGCAAGATTCTATATGATTTGGTGAGGAGTTCAGTGCGCCGGTTTCCTTTCTAAACCGCCGTGATGAGCCGCAGGCGCAACCTCTTTCTTTCCCTCCTATCGTGCTCGTTCTCGAAGGGAGGGTGGTTACAGTTTAAATGGCGAGATAGAACAGGAAGAAAGAGAAAGAATGTGGGGGATAGAAGGTGGAAGCGTTGACTGGCATTTGGGCGAGGCGGTCGTCAGTGTGTGTAGCGTGTGATTGGAATTGGGCTAGCGTATCTCGCGGCCCAGCCGTAGATTGGTCTTGGACTTGTAGTTGAAGCCATAGACAAACACAACTCCTCTTGTCCTATTGGTTGAGAGCTTGGGCGTCCAACTAAGAGGTCCAAGGTTCGAGTCCATGTGTATGCATTGTGTGTGTGAGTTTGCCTTAAATGGCCTAAATGTCCCCAAAAAAAAAAAAAAAGCCATAGACAAATTTGAACATGTTTTTTCCTATATTTATACTATTTATAATTTTGTTTATTTATTTATTTATTTCGATTTCTTAGTGTTTAATTAAAATTTAATTAAATAAGATTTGATCTTCGATACATCACCAAAAATTATCTTGATCGGATATGAATCTCGAGACATCCAAATTGAAAACTTCTGAAATTAAATTTATGAACTTTGATTTCAACAAATTTATATACAAATTGAACATTTGAAGAAGACGAACCCAACTACAATGACATTGATCCAATCTGAGCCCAAATAGGCCAAATTAGGAGATTGAAGCATAATTGAAAGGTTCAAATCATTAATTAGAGTACCAAATAATCACTAAATATGGCATGTTTATTGTTGAATCGAGCGGCTCGTCGAGACGAATCCAATGAGCTCAAGATCGCTTAATTTCGACGTTACTAAGGCACTAAAATTTTTGAGAATGCTTAATAATTGGGGGAATCAATATAGGTCATCCGATGGATGACTCCAAACATGCCCTGGATCTTCTCCATATTTACGGGGTGTGCCACTCACGACTATTATCAGATCAACGCCCGTACGCCGAACTTCTGCCTAAATGCCGACAAACTTCCACCCGACTACTGCCACACTTATGCCCAACTCTCCAAACTATTATAATTCCCCCAGCTCTAAGTCAAGGAACGAATTAACCTTTATAATTCTCTCAAATTTAGTGGAATCTTTTCGCATAGGTAAGGCCCCATAGTCTTTCCCTCTTTGGGATTTTCACATAAAAAGGATCTGATGTTTTAATGCTCTCTCTCTCTCTCTCTCTCTCTCTCTCTCTCTCTCTCTCTCTCTTAAATTATATGTTTATGTGCAAGAAATGCGTGTATCAATAATATACATGTTTATGTGCAAGAAATACGTGCATCAATAAGATAAAAAATTACTCACTCTACCGCCATGAATATTATAGCCCGCAACAGTTTAACGCCATCTGTATGTGTAATAACTCAAATATGTGAAATAAATTTATTTGAAAAATATGAAAATTCTTAAGTAGAGGCCTTTTGTGTTAATCTGGTAAGCGTTGTGGCACAAGGTAATAAACAATATGTGTGTGTGTGTGTGTGTGTGTGTGACCCTGCCTCACCCCATTGACTCCCTCACTTAGTTGCTTAGCTAGGAAGAAATTTAATGATGGGAAGAAGAGAAAGAAGAGAGAAATATCTTTAGATCATATATATTAGTCATTCTTATTATAGATTTTATTTTATTTATTATAAGTGACTAATCTCATACTGTTGTTTTCAATAATGTTTACGAATTTTATCTCTCCTAAAAATGTCAAAAATGTATTATATCCTGATTTCATAAGCTTTTACCGTGTAAGTTTGGATATGCTATAAATTTGACCATTCCAAATGATTTGATATGATTTTATCATATTTTAAATCAAGTGTTGAATGATATCAGATATATAATATGATAAATCTACATGATACCCTACTAATCCATATAATTTACTAATTGGGAGTCATAAGGAGCGCGCAGGGAATTGATTAAGAGTCATAATGAGTCAGGGTGATTAATTCACATGATTCAAGGGGGTTATAAGGGGCGGTTGATTGGGAGTCATAAGTATAGGAATATGATATCCTTAAGATACACTCATTGAATATTTGAATACTGATTCTGACACTAAGAAAAATATTATACTAATATTATAGCTCACACTAATATTATTTACTATGTTATTAATGCTATTTAATGTTATTGGTCATGATAATAATATTATTACTAACATTAGATATTAATGCATATATTTTTTTATATGATTCATAGCATATTATTCTCTTTTATTTTATATTGATTTCAATTGTAAGATTTTAGTTATTTTGCTAGGTTGTATACTCATTATATAATTTTACATATTTTTGGAAAAGGGTAATGATCCTATAATATGAGACTCTAAACAACATGCATAATTTTTCTACCTATAATTCTAGATAAAATGCAATCATATTTCTTTTCACTATTCATTGTTAAGCTCTAATTAAATGATTAAAATAAAAGATATTTATAATTCTTCCCAGATATATCCTATAGTGTGACAATGGGAACTAATTCCACCCTTATAAACTCAACTGAAGTCCTCTTTCAATAGCCAACAGGTATAGCAATCACAACAACATAGCCTCTCACTACAACTTGCACCAATCTATGAATCAGGAATGTCAAGCATCTGGTTCTTTCTTTCTTGGTGGAAGAAATTTTGTTGGGGTAGGAATATCAGTGCCATCCCATGAAGATAGCATATGAAAAATGATGAAGTCTCATACTAAATTTTTTTAACTTATGCGAGGCACTCGCCAACCAGTGTGAACACAACAAGAGGAAGCCCATCTTGTGATGCTCTAGAATCTAAATATGAAGAATTATTCATTTATCCTTTAAATAAATAACAACTACAGCTATATAATATCATCTATCAATAATAAACATCAAAACATATTCTATAATTCAAAACATCAATGAACACATCTATATCTAATCCTAAAAATCATATATAATACTCAGGATCTATATAATAATCACATATCTACTCTAGCCAGAGTATAAAAGAATAACTAGAATAAAAAGAAATAGAACCTGAATAATCCTTATCAGCCTCACACTCCTGCTCCCTTATGCTGACATGATATCATTTAATCACGTATAATGAGCTTAAAAAGTCCAACATGTCACAAAATCCTACAACTAAAATAAAAGCATGGTAAAGGAGCAATATGCTTGTTAACAATCAAATTGTAGTAGTTACATTCATATAATCATTGAATTAGTATATAAATTATAAATCTCAAATGCAGTTGTAGTAGAATCTATAAATAATAAAACTCTAAAGTACATAAACTGGTAAAGTTATAAACCAGTATAAGTGTCAAATATATGAAACAATCATCATATCAGTAATATCAATCAGTACATAAATCATATAAAATATCAAATCAATATATCGATAAAGACTATAGAAATCAAATCAATGTAATAAAATTATATATAAATATACACATGTTATGTAGGTATTATATATCATATGCTTAGTACA